TATGTTTATGTATATTATGGTGACACAGGACTGTACATGTGCACCTGTATAAAAATCACTTACGAAGATTGCCTCACGTCTCGCAGTATGTCCCAGCTAATCGATTGTTTATTCTTCGATATTATTCCGTCTCCACATACACAGGTTTCACGGCCGATATGCTACGAATACCGTCAGAACACAACACATCGAGAAGATTCTCATCGCCAATAGAGGGGAGATAGCGTGTCGCGTAATGCGCACGGCAAAGGAGATGGGCATCCGTACTGTAGCAGTGTACAGTGACGCCGATGCCAACTCTATGCACGTGAAGATGGCGGACGAGTCGTACAACATCGGTCCTCCCCCGTCTAAAGACAGTTACTTAGACATGGACAAGATTCTGGCTATAGCTAAGACGACAGGTGCACAGGTAGATAGGCTTCTATTACAATCGCGGGCTGACTGATGATCGTGAGGCTGATACACTATATGATAGCTATTTCCATTTGTGATGTGAGGGCTATTGCCGTATATGTTGTAATACTTGATATCACGAATGTTTGTGCGACGAGGCTAGTGTGCAATGATTTGTGGAATGCTGTTTGTCGGGATCATGTATGCAGCTGATTTGACTCTCCTGGCAAAGAACGAAAGTGATACCCAGAATTGCGGATAGATGATTCCGCAGCAAATACGTAGAGTGGTCAATGTGAAAGTTTGTCTATTCTCGATCCGACTACGAGATACGCGGCTTCATAGCTTTATAACATGTGAGATCTGATAGACCCACAACGAGGTCTGTACACGCAGGCCCCACCCAATGGAACGTATACATGGATTAGCACTCCGATGCGATAAAGTGCATGCTTACCTACTGCAAGCATCTAGCTATCAACATCAAGTATCTAGCTATGAACGGGAAAATATTTAGAACCCTGATACACTGGATAGGACTCATAATCTCAATTTCTGTGCACGTTTGTACACTTAATAGGCTATCCATCCGGGATATGGTTTTCTCTCTGAAAATGAGGCTTTCGCCGAAAGGTGTTTCAGTGAGAACATCTCCTTTATCGGTCCTCCTGCCACGGCTATCCGTGACATGGGCAGCAAAAGTGAATCCAAACACATCATGGATAAAGCCAACGTGCCTATTGTCAAGGGTATGTTTGTTTATATCGTCGTGAGAGTGGTTAGATTTTGAGACAGAACCAGGCAAATTTTAAGAGTAGTGTTCGCAGTGGTCCTTACCTTGTGGCTGGCTTGCTGTCTTATCCGGACTAAGGAGTATTCTGATGTCTGGTGGCACTCTGCAGGCTACCATGGTGACAACCAAGACATCGACTATTTGCAAGAGCAGGCCAGAGATATCGGATACCCTGTGTTGATCAAGGCGTGGATGGGTGGAGGTGGTAAGGGAATGCGTGTCGTGGCCAGCGACGCGGAGTTTCAGGTATATGAAGGAGATAAAGGTTGTAATCGACTAGTGCACAACAACCTTTGCGTTGTAATAGTTAAAAAGGACTTTCGTTCTGCTGTGCTGACCAAAACTCCAGTTACATGGTACTGTAGCATTCGGCGTCCAGGAATCATTCCTCACCAATGGATATATATGAATCAGTCATCGCATCCACAACTCAACCCGCTTACTCGTTATTCATACGGCAGGATATGCTGTCGTCTGCTAAAAACGAGGCCATGAAAAGTTTCGGAGACGACAGAGTGCTGGTAGAGACGTACGTTTTGAATCCCCGTCATGTGGAAGTGCAGGTGTTCGCCGATAGCAAGGGCAACTGTGTGTACCTATTCGAGCGAGACTGCAGTGTGCAGCGTAGACATCAGAAGGTCGTCGAAGAAGCTCCCGCGGTAAGATAGTATTTCTGAAAATGTATGAAGCTAGTTGTATTTATATGAAGCTAGTTGTATTAATATATAGTTAGTTGTATCAATATGAAGTTAGTTGTATTAATACGAAGCTAATTGTATTATTATGCTAGTAGTTGTATTAATACGAAGCTAATTGTATTATTATGCTAGTAGTTGTATTAATATGAAGCTAGTTGTATTAGTTTGAGGTTCCTGGTGCGAGTGAAATGGGCCTGTCAATGGCGCGTACCTATGCATATCTTTAGGTTTAGTTTGTCATAAGCGGTTCGTGAGTTTGGGGATATATTGTGTTGGCATACAGTGTATGTATGTGTGAGCACGAGATGAGCTAACGAAATTCTTGTCGGTTCGTGCTTACTTATATATGCAAGTATATCTCCAACCCTCGCTGATCAGTTTACTAGCATATATATACTATACAAGTAGGTAAAAGCCCAGTGTTATTAGAATTCGTAGCGAAGGAAGCGAGCATGGCCAAAACTAATCTGAATGTGTTGGCGTAGTGTCAAGTGTTGTAACCCGACCCTCTGTTTTACTGTTGCACTCCGTAGCCTGTACTTGTTCTGGACAGCAAAACTATTTTTAGTCTTTACAATGTATGCGTCTTGTAGGTCTAGCGCTCGTGTCTTGAGGTAATTTGAATATAGCTCGTGTCTTTAGGTAATTTGAATAGTGGGGAGGTGTGGATTATATTATACCCCGAAGCTCTAAACATTGCAATGCAATGCTGACACCATTTGGCGCGCACTTTGTATATATCCTTATACGTATTGTTCACGATCATCAAAAACTACAGCCTGGTTTGAGTGAGGAGACGAGGAGAGAGCTTGGAGAAGCCGCTGTCCGAGCTGCCAAGGCTGTCAACTATGTAGGAGCAGGTACTGTAGAGTTCATAATGGCCGAGAGTGGAAAGTTCTACTTCATGGAGATGAACACACGATTGCAGGTATGTAGAGTGTGTGTAGTACAGCACATTGTATTCATATACCTGGCTGTGCATATGGGCTGTTGCTGGATTGTACGTGTGAAAGTGCGTCGCTTGTCCAGGGGATGAGCTATTAATTTAGGATGACGTAAGGGTCTGCATGCGGCAGAAAACTGATTCTATATGGTACACTTCGACCACTCAGGTGGAACATCCCGTGACTGAGTACATCACCGGAACGGATCTAGTCGAGTGGCAAATCAAGGTTGCCAGCGGACAGGAACTGCCCAAGACTCAGGAACAGCTGAAGATCAAGGGACACGCCTTTGAAGCACGTATATACGCTGAGGACCCGGAGAACAACTTCATGCCAATGACTGGTACTCTCTCGCACCACCGCCCACCACTCACCTCAGAGACTGTGCGTGTAGATACCGGTGTGCGTCAGGGCGATCTCGTGTCGGTGTACTACGATCCTATGATCTCCAAACTGATCGTGTATGGCGATGACAGAGAGACAGCCTTGCGCAAGCTCGTGCACTCGCTTCAACAGTATCAGGTAGATCTGGCTGTCTGTGTGGGTGTGTCTGTATTCGGTATTTTAAACCTGATTGCCCGCCCTTTCAGAATTCAAGGAAGATGATGGGTTGATGGTTGCACCTCCGGGCGTAGAGTTTGCGTTTTATTGTGAGATGTATTTGTCGCATCTGCGAGTCTACTGCTGCCTAGTACGCCGGCACTTGTATCGACTCTTGCATTCCGCGGGATATCATGTTTAGCTCGAGCATCGGCGTGACCCAGGCTACGTTACTGGCATGCAAGTGACTTTAAGCAATACACATCAATCTACATATGTCATTCGCTATATCATACGAGAGAAAATGCGCTGTGCTCGTGTGTGCGATGACGGGGCGATGCGTCAGTCACTGTATTCTTGTAGTTGCGTTCGTCACAGTAGGTTGTGTGCTATGGATATTCGGAGTGTATGTGCGAAGTGTGCGGATATGTGTGTGCGTTAGGGGGGGGGGGGGGATTGGGTTTATTAGGCGACAGAGTTCTATCTGTGTTTTCTGGTGGTGTGAATCGCACCTCTTTCCCCCATTAATGACAATGCACCGACGTACGTGGTCTTTAATGTAGTTCGAGTATTCTGGCTATCAAATGATTCTCTCCATGGACTGTTTGAGACGTATCCTAGCAGGTATGATGTTATTGCAAAACTTCAAGATCACTCATAACGAGACTATAGATGTATCAATGCAATTAACACTCGTACTTATTCTATTCTGATCAATCAGGTGGGAGGCTTCAAGACCAACATCAGCCTACTTATCAACATAGCGACCAACCCTAAATTCCAGAAGGGCTGTGTCACCACGCACTTTATTGAGGTAGGATATTCGAGTTATCACGAACGGGCAGGCATTCGCAACGCTATTTGCGCTGCGTGTACATCCACCAGTGCTTGGGTTGGGTTGGTTTATTGTGGTATGGACATCTACAAGCCTTGACGGCTCGGAGCTCACTTTGAGTCTCTGCTGATCACTCGACTGAACACTCCACCGGGCGTGACATTTGGTGCGTGTCTCAGGGCCGGTGTCCTATATTCTTTTCAAATGTCCGAAATAAAGGGTAGAGGTTTGTATCGAGTGTTCTCACACCTTTCCACCATATGCCGTGCAGGAAAACAAGGCTGATGTGCTACCGGAGGTTCCAGTTGTCCGTGAAGTGGCCATTGCGCAGGCGGCCGTGTCACTGTTGAATTCCACTGGCGGTGTGACGAATATCAATGCCAATGGTAAGTTGCAACTAATATGCAGCATGTAAGTCAATCATCGCATACTATATAAGACAATCGTCGCATATCATCTATGGCATTATTCACATGTTATGTAAAACATTATTCGCACATTAGGTATGACAATAATAATTTGTTTAAGTGTCAGCTGGCCACGTCACGTAGTTTTCAGTGTTAACTGATTTGAAAGTAGGTTGAGCTCTATAGTTCACTCCGCTGGCTCCAAACAAACAGATACTGATGACTTATTTGTTGCGATACAGATGCGACCTCTCCGTGGGGTGCGGCGCCGTTTATGGTCAACGGCAGACCAATATACACCTACAACATGGAGTACAGGGGCGAGAGCATTGTGGCCACAGTCAAATATGCCGCAGATGCCTGCAGCTATGACGTAGAGGTGAGTGGCTGGCTTATCATAGATCTCTCGCCTTCTGCAAACAATCCTTGTCTGCCTATGCGCGTCCCATTGCTAGCATACCACATTCACCTCACGAGCATAGGATCTGTTCCTTTTCTGCCGTGTGTGGATATATGTCATTCATCCCCTCACATCATACCATAACAACCCGCGTGCATTCAGATTCGCCGCGATGGAGCGGATGCCACGCACATGTCTGTGTCACGAGTTGCGACACAGGACGACAAGCTGACGTTCACACTCGACGGAGCCTCGCAGGTGGCGGACGTAGTCCACTCACTGGATGCCGTCACTGTGTTTGATCAGGTACGTTGCCGTCATACTGGACAGATGAGGTTGTGGCTGTGCACATGCAGTGTACAGCCCCATGTATGCGCAGTATTATACCTTTTTTATCGTATATTGCCAAGTGTGAGGTGGATTTCGTTGTGCTCGTGCTGATTCGCTATTAAGGTTTAGGGGTTTAGGGTTTTATAACCGTACAATGCAGTGCCAGAAAGCCATACGAGCCTATTCCAACACATGCCCTGTCGAAAACTTATACTCACTATTAGAACAACACGTACAATTATGTTAGTTGAGCTATTGTTCTTCCCTCGTGGGCTCGTTGGCCTCATTATCTGTGTATCAACCATTCAAACAATACACGCGACTTTGGTTGCCCGAATCGAGCGGACGACTGATGTTGTATGCATTCATTCACTTGTTTATTACAGGATGGTGGCAACTTTACGTTTGACATTCCTGCACCCGAGTTTTTGGTTCCCAAGATCGAGGCCGTGAATGTCAACTCAATTGTGGCGCCCATGACAGGCAGAATAGAGAAGGTGTTGGTAGAGGCGGGTACCTACGTCGAGGCTGGAACACCGATTGTGGTTATGGAAGCCATGAAAATGGAGGTACGTATCTGTGTGTATGTTTGCAGCATGATGTGTCCCTTTTCAAGTATTCCAATGCCTAACGTGCCATTTGAACTATTAGCGAGCCTTAAAGACTGTACTGCAAATAAAATGAAAGCGCACTGAAGTGTACAGCAATCGGCCTTAGCAGAAGCGTAGCAAACCGTTTGATTCATCGTCTTGTTACATCTCATATTTCCTGCCACAGCATGTGCTGAAAGCCCTTACGAGTGGAGTTGTGGGCCAAATCAATGCAGCCGTCGGAGATATTGTCGAGCACCACACCGTCATCGCCAAAATGAAGGAGGAAGACGAGGCGCAGTCGAACTAAATAAAAGCTAATATATTCTTAATGTAATTCTACAAGGGGACGCTCCACTATTTGGCCAGTCTGTTTGTTGTTGCGGTACTAAGATAGATTCTTAATGTAATTCTGCAAGGGGACGCTCCACTATTTGGCCAGTCTGGTTGTTGTTGCGGTAATGCTTAGCTTTGTCATATTTAAGGCAACGGCGACAGTGCAGACGGATAGGAAGTATGTCGCGAATTTGTGTGCACAGAGATTCTAGGCAGGAGCGCTAAACATATAGAGATGCCGGAGAAGTTGCCTGTTGATTAAAACAATATTGAACTGTACATACACTCCAGTGGTGTCAAAACGCTCTCTGTTTTCACTGTTTCTCTCTACCTGATGTATGACGGTTGATTGGTAGGTCGTAATCCGGAAATGCCTCCTTGCACCTTTCCAAAGGTCTGTGACGGTATCGGTAATAAATTTCACGCACGGATGCAGTTCTTCCATTGATAACCACTAGCGCAAACTTGTGCTGTGGGTCTTAATTTTTCTACTGTACCGCCAGAGTTTTGCCCAATTCTTGCGGACAGTGTTTCTATCTTGCCCGCTCAAATTTATACTGTCTGAATGAGTTTCTAGTTTGGATTTGATGACCTTCCATCAGGGAACAGATCAACTCTATTTAAGACCGGACTGTAATTCCGCAAATCCATTACGCCTTGGCTTGATTTGGTCAAGTTATATTATTTGATATTCAGGAAAGCCCAGTGTCACTCTGTTCCCAGAGTTCTCGCTTGGTATGCTACGCCCGCTTTAGTATACAAACAAAGCAGCGAGGTTGTATCTTGGTCGCAGGGTAGTGGTCACTAACCATTCTTGGGCAGAGTCTCCGTGTACCATTTTCCAACATACGTGCAAATACCTGCACCTAGATTATAAAACACAACTATACCTAAAAGCCCACGAACATGAATTCTAAATTGTTTATTCATGTCAAGTTATTGGCACCAGGCTGTCAACGCCAACCTCTCTGCATATGACGGCATAACCTCGTGGTCAATAGCGCCACTTAGGAATACTATCACCCGACCGGCCTGTGGTTCTATCTCCACCTGGTCACCACCCGTCATGGGGGGTTTGTATATGCGGAGATGACCACCATCTGGATAGGGTGAGTGCGGATGAGAGGTGTGAGCAAGACATAACACATACAACTGCGAGTGGTGCATCGAAAAAAGGAATCACAATGGTGGGGTACAGGCGAGATGTGGGTACATAGATATGAGGAAATCGCATGTGGAGAGCAAATCTTTAATTGATTACACATTCACATGATAAGGTTGTTCGTATGTCATGTGTTCCAACCAGGTACCGTAGGAAATCGTATACACAAGTAAAAGTGATATTCAATTGTAGACGCAACCAAGAACAGTAAACATATGCTAGCTATATACACACAATACGAAAGCCGGAAACGCGGACAATAGGGAAACACTTATTAGCGAGTGACAAGCCATAGTAGTCCCAAGCTCAGCTAAGTACAAATAATGATATAAAACAAACTTGGATAGTTCGAGGTGTGTGCAGTCTCACACAATGATAGCGGGTTTAGAGCAGACAGCAAATCACACCTAACAGCAGTCGTATAAACACAAACATAACCGACACTACTTGCACCCCCCGACACGCCCATACAAGCGAAACACTTTGCGACCTCCGCCTCTCACTCACCCGCCTCCTTCCATTCGCTATTTAGATAGCAGATAATGGTCACCCTCCGTTGGTCCCATTCAGAGCCGTCGTCCGGCAGAGCGTCGCGGTGCTTCTCATAGTGAGTACCTCTCCCAGGATACAGCGCCTGGTGAAAGGGATTCGCATGATTCAGCTTTGGATTGGCACGCAGCGAACTGCGTGTGTGCGATATTACCAGCAATCTCATACCGTATTCAACAGGCTGCGTTGTCAACATTAAACAAAAGACTCTTTCGCCTTTTTACACACGCATAAGGCACATACCAGCTGATACTCGGCTGACTCGTGTTTGAGATTGATAACGTTCTTCAGATCGCGCTGGATGTTCTTGTACAGGGCTATCATTTGGCTCAAGTTTTCAGTGTCATGGACAGGCGACTCGTCCACTTTGAGGAATGATATGCTGTCCCCTCTCGCTCGGCTGTCGAAGCTTGCGCAGAATGCGCCACTCGATTCTGGAATAGCATGAACAAATAATTGCATCGGATATAGCACTAGGAGTTTCCACTATATGGGATTCGGACCACACTCGTGCGCTGGACAACGAGGAGTGTCGAATATCGTCCTCACATCAACGTGGATTAAATCTATGGCCCATCCGTACTTAGCAATACACATGATCACCAGAATTCAAACAATGATGTATGTGTGTGCCGTATTGCATTCATCAGTTAACCCAACCCCCCGCATACCAGATATCGAGCTGTCGAAAAACGCCGAATAGCCATGGCAGGAACAAAACACGATTCCAACTCACATAACAACTCCAAAACTCTCTCAAAAACCACTCACCAACATTCTCATCGTCCGATGTACTGTCTACAGTGCCTGGTTGATGTCCCGCGGGCTCGAGTTTGATCTGCTGTGTGTTTATCAAGTCCATAATCTCCACTCTTGTCGCCGCCACAAGCGATGCGTCCCAATCCATGGTAAAGTACCCCTCGTTGTACAACTCCTGAATACGAGTACGAACTGGGGATTAAGTTGGGTCGTAAGTAGTTACCAAACCAGACGTCCGCATGGGTGCAGATAGCTACACAAGTAGAAGTAGTTGCCTGCCCATACGAAGAAAGAGACTAGCAACACATGGGCTTGGTAAGCACGCGATCTAAGTATATACCGGCAGAAACAGATATATGCACATGGAAGTGCTGACATAAACTAACTGATATGAAGACTCAGCTCTATCTACCCGATTCAGACGTTATAGATACGAACTTATGAGCTCACATTTACCTGTATTTGGCTCTTGGAAAGATACTTCAAATCGGCAGCGGCGTCTAGTTTGTCCTCATACGACTTCACAAATAATTGCTGGCACACACTTAACGGATCTCGCTCTCCGTCAAGCATTGCAATTAACTCAGCTTCGCTCATCTCGACAATCTCCTATAAACGTATGCGTTATTTTGAGATATCTTGATTGGCTGTACACGTACGTGTTAGTTTGAGATATTTTGATTAAGATTGTGCCCGCTGTATGCTAACATCTCGATACGCACCTTCAGACCGCAATATACATACATGAAGGTAACAAGAGTAGTACGAACACTCCTAGTGAATCTAAAGAAAGTCTCTTCTTAATATCGGATTGGCGAAACTCACCTCTGCGCTCGGTTTACTTAGTCATAGTCAGATGAACGCAGCGCACGGCGAGGATATCACATGGGAAACGAGCTGGAGCATGTGAAACCCTCGCATGCATGTACGGTGTGTATGCCGTTATCAAGTACATTCGAGATCTCTGACCAATGACTTACTTCTTCCTCATCCTCTTCCTGTCCCTCATAGTCATAGTCAAAGTCGCCATCCAAGCCGCTACCAATGTCACTGACCCTTTTTGCATCACCCTCACCAAACCTTAAGGGAGCATCAGTCGCTGCCAGGTTCGACAGCTGATAAATACGTTCTGTTGCGGGTGGTTTTGAAGATTTGATAAGAGGAAACACCAGATAGTTCGTATTAAATATAAATAACAAGTACGACATTATAACTGGCTACATATGAGAATATATGTTCATGAATGCTAAATAAGAACACACGCACGCACATATCAGTGTGCAATTGATTTGTATTTCAGTGTATACAAACAGAGAAGCTTACAAACAGACGAACAGGAGTGCTTGCAACATCAAAAATAACTTTCTACCACAGTCGTAGAGCCTTTGAATGCATACAAGTATTTAACCAGTTCAAAGTATGTGAATTTAAAATCGAATGAAAATAGATATAAACTACTAGACTCTTAATACATGCATGCATATGGCTCCTACCTTTTATACGGTACATGATATACACACATATGTATACACACAAGCACATACACAAACACACAAATACACACACACACACAAATATATGTATACATATATTAACGTAATATATATATATATATGTTACAAAATATATATTTATGTAATATACATATATATATACATACAAATACATACATACATATATATACATTTATATATATATATTTATATACATATATATATAGACATATTTACATATATATACATGCACATATTATACAAATACACACACACACATATATATATAAATATATATATATATACATATATATATGTATATATATATATATATAATATATATATATATATATATAAATATATATATATATATATATAGGGTACATAGGGTACATACATACATAAATACATACACAATGCATACTACAATATATATATATTATATATATACCTANATATTATATAGGTATATATATATATATATATATATATATATATATATATATACCTATATATATATTATA